CTTATTCCCTAAGCACTCATGAAATCGGGATACCACAAAGTCGTAACGTGCTGGCTTTTAGAGCTCATTCAGCACCTTGATTATTATGTGTAGGCAGCGATATTTTGTTTCCCTTAAGCAGTCATAGTTCAAGTCTTAGACCACTACGACTTTGGAGTAAAAGTTATTGTTCTACTAAGTGGAGGTTCAATGCACACAGACCTTCAATATACATAGTAATCTTCCTTCAGCTGATATACTCTCTTGTCTAATATTAAAATGAGTGGGGGATTGTTGGTTTTGGATCATTTTAATATTCTTATTAAAATTATATTGAAGTGGTATTTCCAATTCTTTTTCTGCCTAATTACATTATTATGGTGCATTACTACCGTTTGGTAGTTGATGACATTTGATGTCATCTTTATTATCATTAGTCAACATATAGTGAAGTGTAATGTTGTCCGTTGGGTTTCTTGGCAGAATGAATAGTGGTCAACTTTGACCATTACTTCTCCATATTATTTCTCCATTATCTCATTATTTACTCCTCCATTATACCTTGTAACTTATGTAAGTCCTAAGGCGCATTTTTATTGTCACTATTTACTACCCCATTATCTTTCTATTCATTGCTAGGAAGACTTTCTCAACTATAAATAGTGGTGGTCTTCATTTGGTTTAGTACACACAAGAAAAATATAGAGCGCATAAAATTTGTCAAAAAGAGAGTTCTTATTAGTTGAAGGGGGGTATTTTTTTTGTGGAGCTTTGGACTCAACTCTTGTCCAGAGTTGTTGAGTTATATTCTGTGATTAGGTTATTGTATGCTAGAGGGTACAAGTCAAATAGGACTACTGCTGGACCGGTGAAAACATTTGCGGCAGTGGGCTTGAATCTCCTTAAAGAGAGCGAGATATCCGCATCTTAGCCTGAAGAGATTTATTTTCTTCATTTTATTTTCAATTGTAATCTTGTAATTTGGTTATCTTGTAATTTCTTTCACTAACACATAATACGCATTATTACCACAAAAGTTCACCAAACTGTATCAATTGTTCTTCTTTGGATCATGTTCTTCACTACCACCATCAGCTTCTTTGTCTTTTCATTCTTGAACAAATTTGAGTATAGTAACTATGTACAACAACATATGATTCCTACAGAAATCATGTTGTGGAATATTTAAGATCACAAGTTTTATTATCATTTAAATATTATGGTATAACTGTAATAGCTAGTTTCAACAATAAATCGATCTTCATTTATTTTTTAAACTATACGTTTAACATGTCTATTCAAATTTTATTACATAAATTAGAAAAGGGAAGTTACTACTTGATTTTTAAGGCAGATTAAGAATCTTAATTACTTATAAGTTATACTCGCATTGATATACATGTCTCTATCACTACCTTGTACTACCGCATATTAAGATACTAGGTGGGGAGTGCTCGTGCCTTTTGTGTGTAAATTTAACGAAAGAAGGAATCATTAGATTAAATATTTACCGAATATATTATGTGGAAATGTTAGCATAAAGCAAATATTAACAGTGCAGTTGCATAGAAGCTTTCTGAAGCTAGCTTGCTCCTTCATTGTCTGTATCTAAGATAAAGGGATTAAGATATAGAGTGTGTTAGGAAATAGTGTGTTATGCAATTAAGATTTAGAAAGGGAGGTAAGTTAGCTTTATGTACCTCTATAGTATAAGCGAAGATTTTTTGGGAGCATTTTATGTACAAAGCTTTTGAAGCATCTATGTACAAGCCAAAAAGTCAGCAGTTCTTTTCCCTGTTGCGAAAAATGTGAAAGATAGTTATAGAAATAATGGAAGTGTAAAAGAATGTAATGGTGAATGATATAGTGCAGGAAGTTAAAGTACCTATATTACCACCCAAAAGTGCAGAAGTAGCTGCCAAAAACATTGGGTAACCTAGGGAAAATTATATTACTAGGTGACAGGAAAACAGTCTGCGAAAATTGAGGAGCACTCTAGCATTGGGGAAGGGATATAAAATGGAAAGGTGAAAATATGTGAAAGGGAAGAGTTCATTTCAATGTTGAATACCACAAGGAATAAAAAAAAAGGATAGCACAAGTATATACATGTACAAAACATAGAGGAAGCAGTAAAGCTAAAAATTATGCAAACATGTATTATTAACAAAAGAAATCAACCCAACTATATTATCCTCATTGAATAATAATCATAGGTTATTTGACTGTGAAGTAACTTTTATAATAAAATTGTTGTGATATTATTGACAAGCAGTAAGTGAAAACTCGGAATCGAAGTGTTTAATAAAATGGCAGGTATGCATAAACTCTACTATTCTCAAGTCTCTTACACAAATAGAAAGCATTAATGTTGGTGAATTTTGTATAGCTTAGATCCAGATTGTTCTTGAGTTCTTTTTGCCTTTTCCTGACCAGATATTCACTCCATTTTTATGGTGTTATGATTTTAGTCTACGGATTTTTCCTATAAGGAGCCATCAAAGTATGTCACATAACATGTGTCTTTACAATTATTTGACTGAACAACAAAAGAAACACCACAGCTAAATGAGTATATTAAATGATATCGACTAAATGTTTAGTAATTAGAGAGTCATAAATTAAGTCAATGCTACAGTTGTTATGCAGAAGAGTTATGCAAAACATTGACAATGACTAAAAATAATCAATAAGGCCACTGCATGTTAGCCAGAAAGTGGAAACAGAGATTCATAAGAGTCATCATCATACTACTAATTATATCTCGAAGTAGCCATGAAAACAATCTTGTGAGCTGCAGCTTTTGCTAGCCGTACTTCTAAATAGGGAAGTATATACCATCAAATAATATTTGAGGATGTAAATGTGGAGGGCGTAAAATGATAAATGTCGATGTAAATCAAATAAATCACCTTTAATTGTTTTTTTGAGGAGTTGCTGGATCCAGTTTCTGTTTTATTTTGAGTGATCAGTAAATGTATAATTTCACTGATGTTGTGCGTGAAGCACAGGCAAATGCTTTATTTGCTCGAACATGGAAGAGTTTGTTGGCAATGTTAGTTTGAACGTCTTCCATAGATGGATAGTTACCCTAGGATGGACAGCAATTTATATTTATTAAGTGAGAATTATGCATATTATGATTTGATTAGAAGTAGTACTGGATCCAAAGCCCTTTTCTAAATTTCTTCTGCAGTAAAGGACAACAGTTTTTGCTCCTTCTATATCCATAATTATTCCAATTGTTGAGCCCTACACCTGTAGCATTATACATGTAAAACATAATGATTTGATGTTTTGAATAAGAATGATGTGAAACAGTGTATGGCCAGATGCACATTATAAAGTACCTAGGAAATAACAGTTTTTTCTGGTCACAGTTCATACTATCGATTTCTCATATGGTTGGATATCATAAGTCTATCCCACAGTTTGAACAAACCAACACATAGAATTTCTTAAGGTCAGTGGGAAAGGTTATTTTTGCCTCAATTGTAAATGTGTAGCCCTGTGTTAGGAGAAAGATAAGGATGAGAATTATTATAATAGATTTTTGCGTAAACTAAAGGAGAAACGTTGTACTGACATCTTGTTGCGAGTCCATGTTTGCAATAGGTACTATTTCTTCATCCACTGGAACAGAGATGAGAAATCCTGATGTGGATGTACTTGTGAGAGTGAAGGAGGTAAGTATTTGACGGTTCTCAGTGACCATGTATATAATGCAAATGTTAATAGTCCATAATATTTACTGATAGGAAAAGATAGTCAGAATATATATGAAAGCAATATATTACCATGGTTGTAGTTGTCGGCGTTGTGGATAAGGTGGATCAATCTGAATTATTGTGTCGAATTTTGTTGTCACCTATGTCAATTACATTATAGTAACAAGAAAGAGTAAATCTTTTAGTTTAAATGAGTCAAAATTGTAGCTAATGTTACTGGATTATATCAGAGTCAAAATTCATCTAGTTCTGGAGCAGAGCAATCTAGGACATGTGTTCTACCCTTCTCCTTTAATTCCTAAAAATAAATTGATCCACGCTCCTAATTTCAAATGTTTCAGCAAAAGTAAATGTGGTAGTTATCCGTTGACTTTAAGGTTGCACACATCCATTTCACTAAGAAGTAGAGTCAGAAAAGTGTTTCATCAACTATGGTTCAAGTATAATCTCTTGTGATAAATATTTATGCACCCAGATGTTTTGATGATCTGCTCACAAGTGTAGGGACCCGGTCCTTTACAAAGTATGTTCGTCCAGGATTATATGTTGTATAGCTGGCAAGCTGTCACTTCAGCGGTTGGTGAGGCACCAGTGTCCTGAACCAATCAGAACGGATGAGGTTGTTTGTACGTCGGACAATAGCTCTTCATGGTTGATATATTCAACACACAAACAACATTTTACTCATTGTTCAAAGAGAGATATTCAAGCTTCAAAACAGCAAGGGACCTAATAGATTGCACTATTGCTACATGTACAAGCTATTACTTTGATTGCTTGTATTTGTGCGTATATTGTAGGAATCATTTCGCTTGTGATAGAAATGTTTCAATTTTGGGTGAATCATTGTAAGAACTTAGTTGTGAGTAACTTAGTGTCTTACGTCAAAGTCTATATTAATCGATTGGGTTAGTATAGTGGGCAGTGTTGTATCTGCTTAGGCTCATTTAAGTAATAGGTGGTATTACTTAGTGTGGAGATTAGCAGGTTAATCTCATGTTGTAAACTGGGTTTCACTTTTGCTTGTGAAGTTTAGTAAAAGCAGTTTGAAAATTCCTGTGAGACAGGTCATGATTTTACTCCCTTGAGCAATGAGGTTTCCACGTAAAGTTATGTGTACAATCTTTAATTTCAGCATTTATTTACTTTCAGTATTTATTTACCTTCTATCATGGTAAATCGTGCGGAGGACCTGGTCCAATAATAGCTAGTGGACGCATACATTCCAACAAGTAGTATCAGAGCTTGACTTTTCAATTTGGGTAACACAAGAAAAGAAAAGATCCTGAAGGAATGGCTGCCCCACCCAATATGGAGGAAGGTCAATCATCTACCAGACCACCACGCTTCAATGGACAATACTATGGGTGGTGGAAGAATCGCATGCATGATTGTATCAATGCTGAAGACACTGAGTTGTGGGACGTGATTTTTGATGGACCGTACATTACCTCAAAGGAAGTGAAAGATGGAGAGCTCACTACAAGAGTTATCAAAACCAGAAAGGAGTATAATGAAACGGACAGGAAGAAGATAGAGAAAAATTATAAAGCAAAAATGATTCTAGTATGTGGAATCGGGTCAGATGAGTACAATCGAATATATGCCTGTGAGATAGCCAAGGAGATATAGGAATGTCTCCAAACAGCCCATGAATGAACAACACGGGTGAAGGAGTCTAAGGTCGATATGCTTACGACTCAATATGAGAACGTATGTATGAAAGAAGGTGAAACCATCTTCGAGATAAACTCAAGATTCACCTCCATAACCAACGAACTGAGTGCCTTTGTGAGCCTATTCCCTTGAGCAAACAAGTTCGGAAGATTCTCAAAGTGCTTCCCAAGTCATCGGAAAGCAAAGTGAACGCTATAACTGAAGCAAAAGATTTGAAGACTCTTGCCATTGATGAACTGGTCGGAAATCTCCAAACTTATGAACTGAACAAGTAACATGGGACAAACATTAAGGAGGGAAAGAAGGAGAAATCAGTTGCTTTGAAAACATCTCAAAACGATGTGACTGAGGAGGAGGATGAAATGGCATATGTCACTAGAAGGTTTCAGAAGATTATTAAGAAGCATGGAGGCTTTCAAAAGAAAGCTTTGACTAGCAGAGCAGTAAATGCAAATGATCTTTGTCATAAATGTGGCAAACCTGGTCATTTTATGAGGGACTGCCCCAGCCAGAAGTAGGAAACTCAGGACTTCAGACCTCACAGAAGGGACCAGGTCCTAGACCATGCCAAGAGGAAAGCTCTTGCTGATCAACTGGTGAAGAAAGCTTTGGTTGTATGGGGAAATGCATCTAGAGAGTCCGAGGAAGAGATAGATAGTCCAAATGATGTCTCGATGATGGCTGTGGAAGATGATGAAACTGTTTACAATTCAATTTTCTCACTAATGGAAAAATCTGACGATGAAAAGGATCTGAATGAGGTAACCCTTTTCGATCTCAAGGATGATCTAGATACTCTTCCCATTAATAGATTGAGAAAACTTGTTGCTCTATTAATTGACTCAGTTGATGAACTAACTTCTAAAAATTTGACAACTAGTGAAATGTTGAGTTTGTGCAAGGATGAAAACTCAGCTCTCAACTCTCAAATATCTGAAATGAGTGTTAGGATAGGTATCATTGAGACTGGTAGTCTGGAACCCAACGAGGAACCTGGAATATCTAAGGGTGGGAAGCGAAAACTCAGTAACTTTGAGGTTGAACTAGAAGAGAAACTTAATACCTCTAAGTCTAAGTTAGTTGCCTCCCTGGAAAGGAACTCTCAACTAGTGAAGGATTTGTGTAAGATCAAAGAAGAGTTGAACCACTCCCTCAAATGGACTGACTCGTCTAAGATACTCTCTAACTTAGCAAATCAGAAGTTCAACAGCAGAAAGGGATTAGGTTGTAGACAGATAGAGCCTCCCTACAATCCTTATAGTAAGTATGTGTCTATCTCTGACAACCTCTTGTGTACCCGCTGTGGAAAAAATGGTCATATGAAAGAAAAATGTGAGATTTTGAGAGGAGTAAAAGAAAGGCAAGAGAAGTTTATTAAATCAAGAAGGGTTTTTGAGAAAAAGAAAAAGGTACCTGGTCCCGATTACCACTTTAGCAAGAACACTTTACCCCCATGGACAGGAAGGTTTCTCATTAAGCCTTTTGATAGTTTTTGGGAACTCCATTTGAAGTGGGTTCCTAAGTCTAATAAGTGATTCTTGTGTAGAGGAGAGGAAGCAGTAAGTGCTGGTACATGGATAGTGGATGCTCAAGGCACATGACTGGAGACACTCTAAACTTCCTCTCTTTGGAAGCACACCAAGATGGTGGTGTGTCATTTGGTGGTGGAAAGAAGGGTTTTATTCTTGGAATTGGTAAGATAGGAAGAAGAGCTGATCATTCCATAGACAATGTACACTATGTGGATGGTTTGAAATACAATCTCTTGAGTGTATCTCAAATCTGCAACAAGGGAAATGAAGTCAAGTTCATGTCTGATAGGTGTCTGGTTACAAACTGTGCAACAAAAAGGGTTGTTATGTCTGCCAAAAGAGTCAAAAATACGTATGTTGCATATCTTGACTCTATTGAAGGGGACAGTCTTTCATGCCTTAGCGCTCAAACTGATGATGCAAATCTATGGCATCGGCGATTGGGTCATGTAAGTACTTCCTTGTTAAACAAGCTTGTTGCAGGGGACCTGGTCTGTGGATTGCCAAAGATGAAGTTCTCAAATGATAACGTATGTGATGCCTGTACAAGATCATCCTTTAAAGTCAAGAAAGGCACGAGCACAACCAGACCTCTGGAGCTTCTTCACATGGACCTGTGTGGACCAGTCAGAATTCAAAGCAGAGGAGGTAAGAAGTATATTCTTGTAGTTGTTGATGATTTCTCTAGGTTCACCTGGAACATGTTTCTTCGGACTAAGGATGAGACGACCGAACTTCTAATCACATTTGCCAAAGTTATTCAATTGAAGGCCACCTGCAAGATTGCTAGTATCAGATCTGACCATGGCACAAAGTTTTAGAACTCTCAAATTAAAGTTGTGCTGAAAATGGAATCAATCACAATTTCTCTGCACCAAGAACTCCTCAGCAAAACGGAGTCGTTGAAAGGAAGAATAGAACATTGGTGGATATTACATGAACCATGCTGATTGACTCAGGGCTTACAATGATTTTTTGGGCAGAAGCAGTCAACACAGCATGTTATGTTACAAATAGGTGTATTATCAGGTCTATGATCAAGAAAACACCTTACAAATTGATGAATGATAGAAAACCTTCAATTGCTCATCTTAAGCCATTTGGGTGCAAATGCTTTGTACTGAATAATGGAAAGGATGACCTTGGCAAGTTTGACGCCAAGAGTGATGAAGGGGTGTTTGTCGGGTACTCTTCTACCAGCAAGGCCTACAGGGTTTTTAAAAAAAGAACCCTATGTGTTGAAGAGAGCATGCATGTGATATTTGATGAGTCTTAGAAAATGATGTGCACAAAGAAGACCATAAGTTGGAGGAGCTGATCAAGGGAAAACAGGATAAGGCAATCCAAAATCATGGAAACAAACAGGTTGCAAAAGAAAATGGTGCAAAACACACAGGAGAACCCGGTCCCTCTAGTTCAGCCTAGGAGGAATTATCTTAAAATCCAGAAGATAATGAAGGTGAATTTGATGCTGATGTGAAAGAAGAGATTACCAGAAAGTCCAGATGGAAAAAACAATCCTCACATCCACTGGACAATCTCATCTCTCCACTTGACTCCGAAATACAAACTAGATCCAGAACAAGAAATCTAGTTGCATATTCAGCCTTCATATCATCCATTGAGCCTAAGAACATCAAAGAGGCTTTACAGGATGCAGATTGGGTAACATCAATGCGAGAAGAGCTTCATCAGTTTGAGAGGAGCAAAGTTTGGCACCTGGTCCCCAAACTTCAGACCTCTCAACAGAACCATTATTGGGACAAGATGGGTCTTCAGAAACAAACTTGATGAGCATGGGACCATCACCAGAAATAAGTCAAGACTCGTGGTGCAGGGGTATAACCAAGAGGAGGGGATTGACTATGACGACCTTTGCTCTTATAGCCAGAATGGAAGCTATTAGAATCCTGATAGCCTTTGCTGCCCACATGGAATTTGAGCTATTTCAAATGGATGTCAAGAGTTCTTTCTTGAATGGGAATTTGAAATAAGAGGTGTATGTCAAATAGCCTCCAGGTTTTGAAGATGACGAATTGCCAAATCATGTGTTGAAGCTGGATAAAGCTTTGTATGGTTTAAAGCAAGCTCCCAGAGCTTGGTATGAGCGCTTGTCGAAGTTTCTCCTTGCAAATGGTTCAAAAGAGGTAAAATTGATAATACTTTGTTCCTAAAATCCATAGGTAAGGAGTTGTTGATTGTGCAGGTATATGTAGATGACATCATCTTTGGAGCCACTTCAGATTCACTGAGCAAGGAGTTTGTTGATTTGATGAGTAGTGAATTTGAAATGAGCATGATGGCGGATCTTACTTTCTTTCTAGGACTACAGATCAGATAGTCTTCTCAGGGCACATTCATATGTCAGGAGAAGTATATAAAAGAACTGCTGAAAAAGTTCAATCTGCTTGAAGCAAAAGTTCGTGATACTCCTATGAGCACAAGTGTGAAACTTGATCTGGATGGAGATGGAATTGAAGTCAATCAGACCATGTCCAGGGGAATTATTGGGTCACTTCTGTACCTCACTGCTAGTAGAACTGACATAGTCTTCAGTGTAGGGATGTGTGCAAGGTTTCAAGCAGCACCAAAGGAATCACACTTAAAGGCTGCCAAGCGAGTTTTGAGTTACTTGAAGGGCACACAGGACCTGGTCCTCTTCTATCCCACTGGTGACTCCTTTGATCTAATTGGTTATGCTGATGCTAATTATGCAGATTTTTTTGTCGATCGAAAAAGCACATCAGGCATGGCACACTTCCTAGGATCATCACTGATTTCATGGGGGACAAAGAAGCAAAATTCAGTGGCACTGTCTACAGCAGAAGCAAAATATGTGATTGATGCATCTTGCTGTGCACAGCTACTATGGATCAAGCAGCAGTTGGAAGACTTTGGTGTTCTCATAGACATTATTCCTCTAATTTATGATAACACCAGTGCAATGAACATGGCCAAGAATCATGTTCAACATAAGAGGACAAAACACATAGATGTGAGGCATCACTTTCTAAGGGACAATGTTGAAAACCAAAATGTGGTGATGAAGTTCTGTAAGACAGAAGACCAATTGGTTGATATCTTTACAAGCCCTTGAGCAAAGAATGTTTCATCAAAAACAGGTTAAGGCTGAGATGCACAAGATCACTTGATTCCATGACAAATTTGCACAAAATCCTCTATTTGATTATGTAAAGGAGGGTCGGTATCTATACTTGTTGCAATGCTTATCGGTTGATAATTCACTTTTGGTACCTTAATGCATGTATACACTCATGGCATGGTGGCTGAAGGGAAGATCTAATCATATAGGCAGGACAACATATTGAGTGGGACCTGGTCCTCACAAGGTTAGTATCACTTATGCTACATTGTATGTCTGTCAACGGTCACTGCCACGTGTCTCTCGCCCATTCATCGCGTCAGTTTCAGACGTCTTTTCACTTTAAATCCAAGAGTCACTACCTTTCAGGTACCCGATACCTCTTGTACTTAAATATAAACCTATCCTTTGTGAATCCAAATCCTAAATTCTTCCTAATCCCTTTGTGATTCACTACTTTGCTCCTAAATCATTTTTCTTTCTCCTCATCAAAATGACCAATTCCTCTACATCTTCAAAGACTCCTATTCCCCAAGAAGTTAAAAACCCTAGCTCTTTCAACTTCTCCATTCCTCTCCCAGAAGAGTCTCCTTCGACACCAGTCTGTGGAGTTGGTGAAACAGGTGAATCCACCACTCTTCTGACTGAAGTAGTGGTTTCTCCTGCACTTCCATCTGGGGAGATTCTGCCCTGTTCTCCCACTTTAGTGTTGTCCTGTGATAAATCCCAAAACTCGGTGGCACAATCTGTTGTGAAGCCTAGTGTTGAACCTACCACTGAAGAAGTAGAAGTGGTTTCTAGGGTTGTGTCTTCTACAATGTCTGAGAGACTTTTGGAAGGGGATCTGCCTAAGGGAAGGGGTCCCGAGTCAAGCATTTTAGCTACAGGGGCAGAACTGGTGGTTGTACAAAGTCTGGCTTCGCTTAGAGGAGATGTTCAACCAACTCTGTTGGAACCAGAGTTGAGATCACCGAAACAGGTCCCTCACAGTGTCCAACCTATGTTTGACCATACTCCCAGGTCTTTTGATGTTGAAACTGAAGAGGAGGAGCAAGAACCTCCTTTGAGATGGAGCACACGGGGATTCGAGGAGCCAACACCTTAACAGTTAGTGTCCCAGATCGAGAGATAATTAAGAATGCTCCTGAGGCTGACCACATTATTGAGTCTACTGAGTTTGCGAAGGAGATACAAACAAAAGGAAAGGGAAAGATGGTTGAGTCCCGCTCTAAAAGGGACAAGAAGAGGTATGGGACAAGAAGTGAAACACAGAAAGTTATGGGGAGCGCCATAGCAGCAAGCATAATTCAAACGGAAAGGGCCAGGAAAAGGAGGAGGGAAGGTCATGAGCTTGAAAAACCTACTTCTACCCCTTTGCATGTTGGGTCCAGTGAAACTGAGTCTGATGATGTTGTTGCATATGTAGCGAAAAGAAAGATTGAAGGAGAGGACAAGAGGGTAAAATCAAAGGGAATTCAGAAGGCTGCAAAGTAATCGCCTGTGAAGAAGGAGAGAGTGAGAAAAAGGGTCACTGTTAAATCAAGTTCAGTCAAGGTACCAGGTCCTTCTGTTCAAAATCCAGTTGCAGACAAGGAGATGACAAGGGAAGAGCGCATAGTTGAAATGGAGAACCAGAAAGTGCTGAACTGTAGAGTATTCGACCCTGACATCCTTACTACATTTGGTATGTCGAATCTCTTTGATGTTGTCTCTTACAAGGTTGGGGCCATCTGTTCAAACCCCCAGCACCATATCTTCATAAACCTGAGGTGCGTGAATTTTACTACAAAATTGAGCTTCTAGAGAATAGAGGAAGCAGGACTACTGTCAACAATATTAAAATCTTTCAAGATGAGGAATCCTTGGGGATCATTTTGGGTGTTCCTGTGAAAGGAATACGATCAATTGAGGACTGCAAACCATCCAGCGAGTTCCCAAAACAGGCCACAAAGCATGGGGACATCAAGCGAGCAGGATTGCCAAAGAAGTTTCTCAAAGGGGAATATCAGTTACTCTTTGAGTTCATCAACAATATATTGGTACCACGGACAGAGAAAAGAACTGTAACATCTGTTGTTGATCTGTTTCTCATGGAGAAGTTGGACGAACATGAGGAAATTAATATCCCTGCTATAATGATTGAACATATGCACAAGGTTATGACTTGGAAATGGGATAAACATGGCATCCCTTATGGCTACCTGCTGAATTATGTGTTCAAACATTTTGAAGTGCCCTTGGAACGATGGGTACCTGGTACCACAAAGCAAATGTTTATTGCTGCCACCTTGCTGGAATGTGAGTGTGTTGAAGGGAAGGCCAAGGGCAGGTCTCAGGTGGTGGATCTTCTAGAACATCAAGCCTCTCTTAAACGTGAGTTGACTGATCTTACTACAATCTTAAATGATAAGGAGGTCAAAATTGCGCAACTAAAGTCCAAGTTGCAGAAGGTTGTCTCAAGGGGATATGGTACCAGTGATGTGGATGAGCAAGTGGTGTAGAAGTTGAGAGATGAGAATGAACTACTGCTGAAGACAAATGCCTCACTCAGTGAGGAAGTCAAGGCTCTCAACAAGAAAATTATCCAGGCTCATGAGGCTGCAAATGAGAGGATGTCTTTGCTAATGCGCACCCTTAATCCTCTTCCCCCTCCGTCCTAAACGAGTCATGTTTCCCTAGCTTCTTTTTCATTCCTGGTTTAAAAATCTAGTGGCTATG